AAAAAAAAAAAAGGACCAGTTTTCTGTTCGGACAGAGCCTGGTGGTATCCCTGAGACTATGGCCCCCTAGCTGCCCTTCAGGTCTGAAATTGAACACACTCCTGTGGCTTCCAGCCAGACAAAAGACAGGCACATGAGCTGAACATTTATATTAGATAGATACACTCCTTGGAGAGATCAATCATGGGAGAATAGAAGGGCTGTGTATGCACAGGAGACAGCTCAGGGGGCAAGAATGCATGGGAGGGAAGGACACAGGGAAGAGGTAACTATGGGGAGGGAGTGGGGGGAGCTGTTGCATTGTGAGAAATTGCTGTCAGTGTCACGAGACAAAGTGTATGTGAACTGCAGCATGGAAAGTGAATTTGCTCTGTATACTTTCACACATATCACAATAAAAATGAGAAAAAGAAAAAAAAAGAGAAGGTTTACACACAGAAGTTTAACAGGGGTGGGAGGATAAAGGATAGTAAATCACTAATTGGAGAGTAGATGCATATTACCTTGGATGAAGGGAAAGGTAATAAGCAATAAGCAGGAGGTCAAAACAAAATGATCAAGGCGGAGGAAGAAAGGATCAGAAGAAGGAGCACAAGAGTTAAAGGCAATAAAGGTGAATTACTATTGCATACACAATCCGGCAGTAGTAGTAATAATAATTTAGGAGTGGTTGCACAGATAGATACTCAAACTGAACAGAGGTGGGAAGGCGAACAGGACTACACACTAAAAATATATATATGTATATATAGGTTTGACAAGAGAATATCTCTACATATGTATTTATATATTCTGCAAATATATCAATGAAGGTAGTAGAGTGTACGGGGGCAAAGTTATGAAAACTTCTTAGTCATAAACTTAAGAGAATGAGTCACAGGGCCTGGAGGCTAAGAACGATGGATGGTCTCGGGGGACACAAAGGTCAACTGGCATAACAGATTGCACAAAGACGATGTTGTACATCTTAATTTGGTGAGTAGCAACTGGGGTCTTAAAACCTTGTAAGTGGCCATATAACATGCAACTATTGGTCTTTCTGTGTCCAGAGCAAAGAGGAGTGAAGAAAAAAATAATAAGATTATTTCACTGAAAATATCTGTATTCTAGGGCTTTTTTTTCCCATTGTGAGACCTCAGTCAAGTGAACTCAAATTCATACAGGATATTATTGATCTATAACTTTATTATAATCACACCTACCTCAAAGAAACACTCTGAAGTCATAAGGTATAATAGTTCTCAAAGGGGAGTTCCATATTCATCACATCTGCTATTATGTATTAGCCTAAAATACCTAAGTCTATTCTGCTCTCCACAAGTTCATTGTAAAATAATTGCAAAACACACAAAAACATGAAGATGATTGTAATAAGTCATTTTGTGTAAAATCCTTGAAAGGAAGATATTCAATAAGATAACATATATTACAAACAAATAATATTCTTTAATTAACAAAATATAATACTCCAATGTTCAGCCTGTTATTCTACATATGATAGACTATGTCAATGTGAAAATAATATTGTGAGACTGTTTTATTAAGGAAAGTCCTGTATTGCTAGTTAAATTGCCAATTAGTAAATTAGCGACTTTTACCATATCTTATAAAAGTGGGCTGAGTTTGTCTCTGGCTTGAAATTCTATTATTAATAATGCTAACTTTCTGGAAAATAGGTTACGCACCAGTTTTTGCCCTGTCAGGCCTTCAAGGAGATCTAGGAGGCGTCTCCCATCTTGCAGGTCACTGAAGAGGTTCTCTATGTGCTGCTTCCCAAACTGAAAGACAAAATAAACCCACTTAAATGAAGCACCATTCCAATAACCCCTCTCCACAATGATATATAACGTATTGAATATATAACATATTTAGTATACCATGGACTGCCAGCAGAACACACAAATCTGTCTCGGAAGAAGTACAGTGAAAATGCTCCTTAGAAGCAAGGATGATGAGACTTCATCTCATGTCCTTTGGACATGTTAGTAGGGGAGACCAGTCCTTGGAGAAAGACATCATGCTTGGTAAAGTAGAGGGGTCACTGAAAAAAAAGGAAGACCCTATACAAGATGGATGGACACAGAGGCCGCAACAATGGGATCAAACATAGCAATGATTTGAGAATGGTGCAAGACTGGGCAGTTTTTTGTTCTGTTGTCCACAGGGTCTGTATGAGTCAGAACTGACAGGACAGCACCTAACGACAACAATGTGCCTTTTCATAAAGGAATATCATGCAGTTGAGTATACATGATTACGAAGTCCTCAGAGGAATACATGTTACCACCTCAAAGGACTCTTGAGCTAAGAAGCAAATACCTTATGCTGTTGGGTGCCATCAACCACCATTAGAGAGCAACAATTTTTCAAAAAGGAATGTGGGTGGCAGATTATAGAAGAGGACTGGAAAGGCTAAGCTAGGTGTCTGGGGTACAGTATAAAGCATGAAACCTAAGTCTACAGAGATTTTACAGCACCAAAGATACTAGGCCTAGAATATTTGAGCTTTGGGGCAAGGAGTCTACACAAACCTAAGCAAGGCAATCAGGGATCTTGCTTTTAGTCCAAACTTGTATGAAGAGATCAACATGTTCTTTGATAATTCTCCCCTTAAAATTGGAATCAAAGAAAATGGAGCATGTGTAAGATTGCAGGCCAGATAGAAGCCTCCAGGTGCACTTAGTGGGGTACCTAGAAAGAGGAGGCCATAAGGTGAAAGAGAAAAAGATAGTTCTTGGCATCATATGTAATTTCTAAACTCATACAATTACTGCTACGTTAAAGTATTCCAGTTGAAATCTAATTTGTATGTTATATCCACTATGTTCTCTAATAGAGGGTGTTCCTCAAACTGTTCCACTAAACCATCTTTCCAGTAGGTGAGATTGAATGAATTTGCCCTAGTGTCTTGCCACATAAATTAAGCAACAAGTGTGGGTCAGAATTTCTATAAAAGCCTGTTTTACATGAAAAATTCTGGAATATTTTTCCTTCATCTCTTAACATATATATTAGTTTTAATTAATATATATATATATATTGAATCAGTTTTGATTTAAATAACAAATGTTCGCTTCTGTGGTCTAAAGTGATATTCAATGAGATGTTCAATATTTTATATGTAACTTCATGGATTTCCAGATTCTCAGTCTTCTTCCCATTGTACTATGAATATGCCAGGGAAAGCAAAACATTTCATTTCTCTCGAATGGCTTTCATTTTTGTACTGTCTTCAACTACTCACTTCCTACCTAAAAATAGCACAGGTTTCAGAAGCAGAAAATAACTGACTTTTGAATTCAAGTCTCCTATTAACTAGCTGTGATATGATGGGCAAGTTACTTAGACTTTCTGAGGCACAATTCTTTCATTAGTGAAACAAATTGAAATAATACCACTTCAGGGCACTCCTATGAGGTTTACAGAAAACAATGTAGGTATCTTACACAGATTTAGCACTAAATAAATGTAGGATGGTGTCTATATTTTATTCTTCTGTTACTCCCTGTCTACTTCTCTTTTCTTGGTCAAATTCTAGGTACAAATAAAAGGGACATAATGAATCTACTAAAAAGTCAAGCTCATCAGCATGGTGTTCTATTCTCTTACCTTGGCACTCCTGTGAGGGTAAAAGTCAAGGAGGAAAGGGGTCATCCTATATTCAATCATTAACATTGGCAAATGTGGATGGGACAAGGCAAAGGCTTAGAAGCCTCAAATACTTTCTCCCTGTTCTTTTTCCTTTGGCCTTTTCTAATTAAATCTTCTTTAGTTTTCTTTCTTCTTTCATCTTCCACATCTGCTTTGTCTTTTCATTGCATGTGTCATTGTGTGTCACTAAAACAGTCATGTTTTCTTCAACCATCTTATATTTAACGGCTTTTTTTCAAGTGCTTGAAACTTATTTTTCAAAACACACAAAGCATAAAACCCTCTTTGTGTCATATGACCCTGCAGATCTCTATCTTCTATCACTTTCATGAATAATATTTTCTTCATCAAATGAAGTTTTTTAATGCTTAATGGTTTCATGTATTCATTTATATATTGTTTTCTTCCTTGGTAAGTCAAATAGCAAGGTGAAACGATCATAAAAGGAGACAATAATCCTTCCAGTTCATTGTCAGTATGAAATTTTAAAATACAGAAGCACAGATAATGTCCAAAATAAATTTTGACAGGTTTATTGGTAAAGGGAATAAACAAAGTGAAATGAAATCAAAGTGAAAACTTGAGTAAAGTAAATCAATGCATTTATGAAAATTTTTAAATGACTTCTGACTCTTCTGAGTTGTGTGGGTCTTATGGTCTGAAAATATACAGGGCACAATACAAAATTCCATTTGGAAGCAAAGAGAATGGAAAATTTAGCATGGATTTCTGGTTACAAAAAGGTTAGGCCATAGACTTGTCTATTGTTCAGAAAGTCAGGAATACTGCTCTGTGATTACAAACCTCTAGAAACTGAAAACACCAAAAAGAATGCAAAACTAGGGATCCAACTTATTGGCGAATGCTGCTGAACACTTCCTATAAAAATAAGGTGTCAATACTACCTAAAGTAATCTACAGATTCAATGTACTTCCCATAAAAAATTCCAACAGCCTCCTTTGTAGAAATCAATCCTCAAATTTATATAGGACTACAAGAGGCCCCAATGAGCCAAGGAAGTGTTGGGAAAAAAAAAAAAGTAGGAAGATACACATTTCTCAATCTCAAAACATATTATAAAGCTACACTAATCAAAGCAGTCTGGTACTGGTATAATGATAGACATCTAAATGAATGGCATAGAATTGAGAGTGCAGATATAAAGTCATGCATCTATTAATAACTGTCAACAAAGGTGCTAAATATATTCAAATGGGGAAAGAATAGTCTCTCTAGTATATGGAGCTGGGACAACTGGATTTCCACAAGGAAAAGAGTAAGTCTGGATCCATACCTTATACCACATATGAAAGCTAACTCAAAATGGATCAAATTCCTAGAGGTAAGTACTACAACCATAAAACTCTTACAAAAAAAAAGGGTATATCCTCAAAAGAATTGAAAATAGGAATATAAACACTTATCCATCAATGTTCATGTAGCACTATTCACAATAGCCAAAAGGTAGAAACTGTTTAAATATCTATTCATCAACACATGAATGGATAAACAAAATTTGTATATACATACAGTGGAATATTACCCAGCCATGAATATAAAAGACCTGATACATGCTACAACATGGATGAATCTTGAAAACATCATATTAAGCAAAATAAGTCAGCTACTGTAGGACAAATATTGTTTGATCTCACTTATATGAACTATCTAGATGAGCAAACATGTAGAGCCATGATGATTATTGGTTACCAGGAGTAGATAGGAAGGAGAAGGAAAGGGAGACACTGAGATTCTGTTAAGGGTGATATAAAAATTTGGAAATGCCTAATGGTAGTGGTTTAAAAACATGATGTACATAATTAATGTCACTGAATTGTACATGTGAAAAAATGTCAAAATGGTAATTATTTTGTTACTTATATATTCTTGCAAAAAAAGGTCAATTAACTGCAGTGTAAATAAACTACTCTAATAGATGTTTGTTTTGTTAAGAATGGGTGGTAAAAAGTATTTTATAAGGAAGACAAAAACTTTTAATAGAAGGATAATATACATACACAAATGTACACTTATCTCAAGTGAACAACACAAACTATCTTCACAAAGTGAACACACTCATATTACTAGCATGCAAATTAAGAAGCAGAGTTTGACCAGAACCCTAGGAGCTTGCTCAATCCCACTTCTGTTTACTAGTCCCTCCAAGAATGAACACCATCTTGACTTTTGGGATCATAGTTTAGTTTTGCCTTTAAAAGAGCCCCTTAAAAACAGAAGAAAAAAAAAGTTGCTGGTTTCATATTTCATATTAGGAAACTGTTGATGGAAAGGTGTTAGCTTTGTGTAGAGGAAATTTTTTAAAAAAAGAAAAAAATTCAATTGATGAAATATGTTTTACGAAGCACAAGCAAATAATGTAATGCTGTGAATAAGAATTCTTACTTTGTACTCAGAATGCCTTTGTTCAAATTCCAGCTTTGCCACATCCCAGCTGAGTAATCTTGGGCAAGTAATTAAACTTCTTTGTGGTTTACATTTTTCATGTGTACACAGATTTACTATTACCTACCTTCTAATAATGCTGTGAAGATTTCAATGCACTTAAAACAGTGCCTTTTTCATGGTATGTACTTTTCAAGTGTTAGCTATCATATGCATGTATTTCAAAATTCTTAATCTAAATAATCCACATTTTCTAAAATTCTTCTTAAAAATTTAGCTTTAGCATAACACAAGGGACCATCTTCAAAGTACTTTGATGGTTAAACAGGTTAATAATTAATTATAAGGTGTCTAGCATGGTTTCTAGCAGACAAAATGTTCAATAAATCCTAATCGCATTCCCTCCTTCCCTTTAAATTTCATTATCTGAGAGTGAAGAGTGGGGCTCAGCTTTGAGGGTCCAATTTCCTAGCAGAACTTGGGCAATTTGAGCAGATTTAATAAAGTATTATTTACAAAGATGAGAGTAGCGTATAATGAAACTATTTAGGCTAGTAGCAGAGAAGAGCTAATATCACTCCTTTTGCAAGAGAGCGAGAAATAGAAAATGAGAGAGAGGGAGAAAGATAGATGAGGGGGCAGGGAAAGAGAAAGAGGGGCATTGATTGATTATTAATCTCTAGACGTGCAGAAGGAGCTCTAGTGGCATAGCGGTTAAGGCAC